TATCCAGAATCTAAGCAAAATTGTAAAAATAAAAGCAGATTTTGTAACAGTTTTTTTAATAGATTCATGAAAAACGCTCAAACAATTGTAAGATCCAGACATTTTCATTCTTTATGCAAAGGAGCAGCATTTCGTTTATCATGCAAGTTATTTCCTCATTCAGAAAATATTGCAGCGTTGGCATCTGACGATAGTAAAGAATTGAAAAACATAAGAAAAATTTTTGTATCCCATCAAGAATCTGATGACCATAAGAAAGTCATGATGATCTACCACACACAATCGAATAAAAGCATAATAGATATAACGTAAGAAGAACAGGCTACTGAAACTGCAAAATACTACTATAATATTTTAGAACGGGTAGTAATAGCAATGAAATTTTTATCTGAAAGAGTTTTGCCACCACGAGGTCATGACGAAAAGTGGCATATAAGTAAATGATATATAATGTGGTATACAAGTAAATGATGAATTCAAATTTTTGATGAATCTGGGCAAAATAAATTCAGTTATTGAACTTAAATCAATGGAGACCGTCATGTCATTATATAAAAATGATGTCAAGAGCTTTTTAGTCAATGTAGTCAATTTCAACATTATTTAGATTTGGTATACTTTAAACAAAATGATTTTTTTTTTTTTTTCAAACATTTTAGTTTACATTTGTTAGTTCGTTTTTACAATATAATGAGAGTAAATAAAAAAAAGTTATACAAATTATAAAGTAAGCAAATACTACAAACATTTGAAAAACTAGTATCTGAAAGAAGATCAGTAAGATTTTATCTTCAGAAGTGTAAACAAATTAGGTTATAAAGTAACTATAAGTACAACAAAATAAAAATAAAATATACATACATATATCACTTTGTAGTATAAATAATAAAGTTTAATAGATATTTCCATAATATAAATATTATTGTCAGATTTTGATAATACGGGAGAGTAAAAGATTTTTCAGCTTAACTTTAAAAAGATGCAAAGAAGTAGGTAGATCAAAATTAAAATTAGGAAAAACAATTTTGTTCCAAAGATGGGGTCACGATAATCAATGCAAAATTGGTTAAAATTTGTTCGACAAAAAGGCTCATATAGTTGTTATTTTTTAGAGAGTATTTATTGGTAGGTTTCAAGGTAATTAAATCATTAAAAACGGCAGGAGAAAGATTGTTTTTACATATATATACAAGGCATAAAATATTAAAAATATTAAGTTCGTAAATATTAAGTATTCTTATTTCTCAGAAAAAAGTTGTTTAGAGTGAGAAAAACGACCAGTAAAATTAATTATTGCATGTTTCTGACGGCGGTAGAGGGATTGTAACTTACTTTTTTCAGTGCTTGTCCAAGCAATATTTGCATAATTTACATAGCTATAAATAAAGGCATAATAAAGTTGGATTCTATATATATAAGAATCTATATAAATAAAACATTTTTATTTATATAGATTCTGGCCTTATAAAGAAATTCAATATCTTTTGAAACTTTAGTACCAACATAATTAATATGTTGCTTCCATGTGATGTTCTCATCAAGGAATACGCTTAAAAATTTTGTGATGCAATCTCTTTTTATTTTAATTTGGTCAATAAAAATATCAGATAGAGTTGGGGGTAAATAATATTTTTTAGTTATCGCATGAAAAATAATCCATTTTGTTTTTTTAATATTTAGGGTAAGTTTATTGCATTAAACCAAACTGATTTTTATAAAAAAAATTCCTCTCCTTAAAATAAGTATATAATCTATTTTAAATAGTTTTTTTTAAGATTTTTGAAAATGTTAATAAAATAGAGATAGTTCTGTAGTTATATATATTAGTTCTGTCTCCTTCTTTGTATATTGGGATTATCTTAGCTATTTTTAACTTATCAGGAAAAACTCCTTGCTGTATTGAGGCTCTGAAAACTTTTAAAGAGAATATCTTTTATTTTGTTCAAAGCATTCTAAGACTCTGTTTCTATTTATTTCATCAGCTCCAGGTACTTTTTTTTTTTTTTTTTTATGGATTTAAACAACACTCGAAACTCCTCAAATGATAGCTCAGAAGATAAATTACTGGAGCAAATGCAATCATCCATCAATGTTAAAAAGTTATCGAACACAACTTGGGTATTAGGAACTTTATTTGCTAGTTTGGAACCAATATCAATAAAAAATTTAATAAACTCATGAGCTATTAGTCTAGGTTCAAAAACATCTTTGTTATCCACTCTTATCACTTCCCACTAAGTCATAATAGAATGTTTTGTTTAGTAATGTAGAGAGATACATGCTTAAATGTTATAATATCATTGATAAAAGAGGTACCAATCAGATAAACAAAGACAAGATTTGCTACTTTAAAACATAAAAGAAATTGTTTTTTCAGAAAAAGTTTTGTAGAATCGATTCTACAAAATATTTTTTGAAAAAAACAATTTCTTTCATGTTTTGAAAGCATTCATGTTTTGAATGCTACTTCACGTTCTTTCATGTTTTAATCAGCGGTAAAAAATTTCAGCATTTCAATCAAATGAATCAGTTACATTTTTACTAGGAACTAAGCTGTAATTACTTCTTCTTGAAATAATTGAAATATTTATACTTGATTTTAAACCTTTTAATGTCAGCTTGTAGCAAAGTACCATTTATCTGAAACAAGCTTTATTGCAATCTTGATTAAATAATTATAAAATCTAATAGGTTGAAGAATAATCTTTGCTTTCTTTTATTCTTTACTAAATGTTTATCAGTAATCTTGTCCTTGGTGTTGAGGTGACGAGTCACAGTGTTATATACATCGTTTCTTGCAAAACAAACACATAAATATTCTTTCATCACTTTGGTTAGGATAAATTAAAATAGGTAGCCTAATGTTTGAACTAAAATTGAGATCTGCCTCCAACAAATAGCAACTTAATAGCAGCTAAACCAGCATCGAATTCATTCAAATTTTCAAAGTCTGCGCTACAAAAAGTCATTTTAAAACATTTGATGCACTCTCAGTCTAATCACCCTTTAGAGCTCAAGTTATTTTACGAAATCTATAGAAAACGGCCCGCGTTTCCAGACTAGTTAAATACTATGACTATGTTACGAATCAGAGTCGATAATGCCGCCCGGCGGCAAAGTAACTTTCTGCCGAAAGGCGACTTTTTAGGGAAGCTGTTGACGGCGGCCTCCCGATCAATTTTTAGCGGCCAAATATTCTTTCTTCCGCCTCCAGTGGCTTCCGCTTTTCTATTGGCGGCTGCAGCCGGAGTTCTTTTTTGGAGGCAAAATGTTTTGGAGGCTGACGCTAATAGAGTGGCAGAAACCAATAACGGCTGCCTCCAGAAGAAATTTTGGAGGCAAAGCCATTTGGAGGCCGCCTCCAATGGCTTCTGCCTCCTAACTGGCTGCGGCCGTCAAATTGGAGGCGGAAATATTTGCCTCCCGCCGGCGGATGTGATAAAAAATAATTGCTCGTTTGCTTTAAACCAATTAAATATTAACTAGAAACAAATGTTAAATACTTGACATCGAAGTTTTATTTTATATTATTTATTGACTATTTAAAAAAATTTTTGAAAAAAAATTATAGCTTTGCCAGAGCAGCTGTTTATCTACTATTATTGAATAAATTAGTAATTTTTTTGTCAAAAAGATTCGCCGCATAGAAGTAAAACTTGAACAGTTTTGCTTTGAGATGTTAGAAAAGTTGTTAAAGATGTTGTTTTGAGAAAAAGATGTTAGAAAAATTTTGTTAGAAAAGTTTTGTTAAAAAGGTTTTAATAGAAAAGTTTTGTTAGAAAAGTTTTGTTAGAAAAGTTTTGTTAGAAAAGTTTTGTTAGAAAAGTTTTGTTAGAAAAGTTTTGTTTTTTGTTAGAAAAGTTTGGTTAAAAAAGTTTCGTTTTTTGTTAGAGAAGTTTTGTTTTGAGATTTTAAAAATTAGATTTCTTATATTTTTATTTAGTTTTAATAAAAAAGTTTTTGAATAAAAATGAAGCTAAGAGTATATTGAATGAGAAAACTCAGACTGTGAGTACAAAGAATGCCTACACAGTATGCAAACGTGCAATAAAATCAGCAAATTATCTTAGCTATAACAATTGTATAGAAAATGTACTTAGAAAAGTTTACCCCCAACAACTTTTGTGAGGGTGTGGTAGTGCCTCACAATGGGGACAAAACCGTTTTTTTTCACTATATGTAGTTTTTGGGTAATAACATTTTCAAAAACCGTTCAATTTTTTTCTTAACTGCATTAATTTAAAGCTTAATGATGTCGTTATTGAAACAAGCTGATAAAAAAACAGATTTCGTTTTAATTTTCATATAACATTAATCCAAACGTTACGGGGGCGATTATTCCCCTTCCCCTATTAGTTAAGTGCAGAAGAGAACAATTTTTTTGAGTTTGTTGTTGTTATAATAATTATAACAGTAAAGTAATTATTATTTATAATTATGATAAAGTCTTTATGTAAATGTTATTTTTTTTAGTTTTAATAGAATTTGATTTTTAATTCTGTCATTTAATCTGTTCACAAAAATATCAGGCTATTATATATATTTAGAAAATATAACTTTTGGGTTTGGTATAATAGGCCCCAAAAATTTGATCAGCCATAGCCCCTAAAAACCACGATCCGCCACTGCTGATATTGGGAACTGAAGGCTGCTTTCTGTAGTCCTCCTGTCACCCAACCTTTATAAACGTTCCCTGCTCTATAATTTACCATAAGTAATTGTATTACTACGGAAGCAGACATTTTAACAACAAGTATTTCATCTTCTTTGTTTATAATTTTTGATTAGACCAACTGATCTAAATATAACCAAGTAGCGCATTTTATTCAATATTACGGCGAAATTGGAAATCAAACAACGCCATATTAGAAAGCAACGTTTTTTTTTCTGCTAAGTAGCAAAGTAAAATTCTCAGAAAATTATATCAAGTCAAAACATTAGTAACTTGTTCAAATTTGATTTGCAGAAATATTTGAATAAAATTTTAAATACAAACTTACCACAAAAAAAATGAAAGTAATGTAAAAGCAGTAAAACCAAGAATGATGTCATCTTGTTCATTCTCTATCTTTTTTAGTTATTACATTAAAAAGATATTATTAAAATGTATAGTTTAACTTGTTAATGTATAATGCAATTGTTAATGTGATTAACATAAAAGTGTTGACTTGATAAGTTATTTTTACTTTTTTGTTTTTAAATGGTTATTAAAACAATGAAACAATATTTGTGAGCACAATATTTTTTAAATTGTAATATTTAATATAAAACTTGAAAATAAAAAATATATTATATAACTTCTATTAACGTTGATAACCTCAATAAAATAATATTTTATGTTTATATGAAAACAAATTGTTTATAAAATATTGTGTTCATGTTTACATAAAGATGGCAAATATTTAATAATAACAGAAAGTATTAAGTTAGTTTAAGTGATTTTTACATAGTTAAAAACAAAGTTTTAAAACACTGAATTTAATATTAGGTTTTATCGCAAGGAAGTTACTTTTGAAATGATATTTTCGTAGGACAATCTCTAATAAATGATGTTTTTATTACCACGGAAATAATCTGTGCCAGAGAAAAGTTTTTAAAAAAATTTCTTAATGTAAAGTAAGTTTTTTTTATATTGCGTTGTTTCAACTTTTATTATTACAACGTTTTTACCATAGTCATAATATACATAGTCTGGCCAGTTTATAAGCGCTATTGTTTAGCTTTTTTTTAGAACCCAGCCAACCAACGAGTGCAAACTTTTTGTAAACAAATGCGCATTAAGAAGAATATTTACAAAAAGATTATTGATTTATTTTTGCAAATATTATTGATTTTTGCAAATGCCTCATCTTAATTGTTGCATATTTGGTTTTGGAACTTCTTGAAGAAGTATAAATGTTTTTATATTTGAAATATTTTCTTCCGACGATGTTTATAACAAAGAAACAAGAAGGAAAGTTTTACAAATTATAAATAAAAATATATCTTTAGTTGCCATATATTATATTAACTGAAATATGATATCAGATAACTTTTTTGTTGGATCGACAGGTTTACTACCTTCAATAAATCAACCAGTTAAGAGCTTTTCATTGGCAAATCCTTCTTTAGGCAGAATATAGTAGTTTTTCATATTACTAAAACTCAACTCAAAGAAATCAATTTTTTCTTCTGAAGCAGATGAAAGTCAATATTTAAATAATTACATTATAAAAGATCAATGTTCAATACAGTCTAACCTTATGCTTTGAAAAAAAACAAAAAAGACTTGCTCTTATATTGCTCATATAAACACTTTGTGATGTCTTTTAGTAACCCTAGTTGTTTACTTTATTAATTTTTTAAAATCTTTCATTATATATTTAAGTTGTTACTTAAAAAAAAAAACAAGTTGGAATATAAAGCTTTCATTGAAATAATTGATTTTGTAAAGTTTTGAAAATGTATTTATTGATACATGTTTAAAAATATGAAACCTTATTATAATATATATAATAATATAATATGAAATGTCTTAGCTTGAGCACTTAAAATTTATTAGTAGATTCTTATCATTAATATGAAATTAGTTTTTACAAGGTATATTTGCGTTGTTTTATTTACAATTACGTTTAAGTGATTTTATTTCGTGATTGTATATATGAAAAATATTTTGTAATATATATTTTATGCCTTACTAGTAATGAATACATAAAAGTAATCATAATGTTAAATACATCAAATTTTTATTATTAATTAGATATTTAATGTACGCATATAAATGGTTAATTTAGATTTTACTTTAACAAAAACAAAACATGTTACAAAAATATAACGGCAAATTATGCCGTTAGCTTGATTTTTGAATATAACACCAAATATAACAACATTGGATAGCGATATAACAGTATTTTGCTGTTATTTTTGCTGTTATTTAGATTAATATAACGACATAAGGTAAAAAAATAACACCATAATGACACAAAATAACGCCATTTATGCTGTTATATTGTATCCCAATGCTGTTATATTTTTGTTAAATATAACAGAATAATTTTTTAGAGTGTAGTTTGAGCTTTCTGCAAGCATATGTTTAAAAGACAAAATAAAAAACTTTATGTACTAACTTTATTCATTCCCAGTGGGCACCGACGTCATTCTCACGTCGTTGCGATGTTGGTTTTAGGTTGGCGACATCGCTAACGTAAAATCATCATCGCATTAACGTGAGAATGACGTCGAAAATTAACATCGCGTTGCGATGTTGAACCAACATTAAAGCGACGTAAAACTCGTAGTTTTATCTAACGTGGATTTTTAAATTGAAAATGACATCGCTCTAACGTTGACACGCAATGTTTTACAGAACATTTAAATATAGAATAAAGTATTTCACTAAAATTGGCACGCGTTGAAACTCAGGTTAGAAATTTGTTATTGAACTACGAAGTTATTTTTATTTTAGTACTAAAATGAACTCTTATTTAAAACGTTGGAGAAATAAAAACAAAGATATTAACAAGTCGCTGATGAAGGAGCTTGATATTGACGACACAGTTTGCTTATTAACAGAAAAAAATGTAAATGATAACGTTGAAATTGAAAACAAGGAGTTGAATCCTACAGACGATGATTATGATGGTAATATTAACTCTGACTGTGCATCAGATTCATTTTTAAGTAGCCAAGATTCAGATGTTTCATTGATTGGATATACTCTAGTAGGCAACGAAGCATGCCAATTAACTTCATATTTAACTTTTAATAAATATGATGTGCTAGCTAGCGATCTAGCTGCATGGGCTACAGGTAATAGATGTACAAGAAAGGCTGTCAATGAGCTGTTAAGTATTTTAAATAAAAATGCAGTATCTTCTCTCCCATATGATTGTAGAACACTTTTAAAAACCCCTAAATATATAAAAATAAAAGAACTGTGTGGCGGTGAATATATCTACTTCGGGATTAAAAAAGGAATAAAACAAATTTTAAAGGATTCTCAAAAAATTGTGAAACAAATTGATTTGCTAATAAATATCGATGGATTGCCTTTATGTAAGAGTAGCAACACATAGTTACATCCATTTATTGTATGTCTATTTTGTGGTAAAAAGAAACCAAATAATTTATTTGACTATTTGAATGAATTTTTAACTGAGTACAAATTGCTTCAAATTAGTGGGATTGAACACAATGGAAAAATTCTACCTGTTTCAATCAAGGCATTTGTTTGTGATGTGCCTGCACGCTGTTTTTTAAAGAATATTAAAGGTCATGGATGGTACCATTCATGTGAGCGATGTTTAGTTAAAGGAGAATATGATGGAAGGGTTGTTTTCACTGAAGTTAATTGTCAAATGCGAAGTGATGAACAATTTAATGAATATATTTACTTAAATCATTCGTTAGGAGCAAGTAACATATGCTGCGAACCTCATCAATTACGAAGGACTCCCTTAGTAGATTATGGAATATTGTGTGTAAAGGAGTTTGTTATTGACTATATGCATTGTGATGCTTTGAGATGTTAGAAAAGTAGTTAAAGATGTTAGAAAAGTTTTGTTTTGAGAAAATGGCAACACAGCTGCATCTTTTCTACTATAAGAACTTATACGTTCTTTCTAAATTATTTTTTAATGATTTTAAAACTATTATTCTAACACTTTTATGCCATAAATTATATTTTATAAAAACATTAGAAAAAGTAGAAACAAATTATATACCAATCAGACTAATTAATACAATTTAGTGTTTATGCACATTTAGTGCTGGATTAAGGAGAAGGGGCTGGGGTTAGTAACCCGGGGCCCAAAATTTTCATCAAGACCTTTTTTTAAAAATAATTTTTTTAAATGATGAGAATCATCATGAGATAATCAAAATGAAATTTAATAATAACTGTATATATATATATATATATATATATATATATATATATATATATATATATATATATATATATATATATATATATACATACAGTTATTATTAAATTTCATTTTGATTATCTCATGATGATTCTCATCATTGTCATTTATTTCAAAAAATTTAAATTAAATAGAAAAATAACTTATAGCTAGCTTTACCTTTTTCAATGAACCTTGATGACATTTCATTATTTTTCACGCTTGATGTCTAATTTCCCAAATGCAATAATTTTTCTAAATCCAGGAAAAATTTGTTATACAAATACAATATATAATTCTAATTATTGGTAGGATGAGCTCGTAAACCTTGTATGGTATTACTCATAGTGTTTTTTTCATGATTTCATTTTAGAAAAGATTCCATACATTACATTAAATTTCCTAATGACTACAAATGAAAAATAAAACACTTCAATTAAGCTGCCTTTTTCTTTCAAGGAAAAAACTAATTTTAATTTAAAAAAATTAAACAGATTAAAAATTTACAAATATACCTTGATGACTAAGTATTCGAGATAGTGGAGTAGGAAACTCATTAATATTTTGACTGTTATCTACAAATTATAGAAAATACTATATATATATATATATATATATATATATATATATATATATATATATATATATATATATATATATATATATATATATATATATATATATATATATATATTAATTTGTAATTACCAAAAGTTCTTATATCAAATACCTAACACATAATATTATGTGTTAGGTACAAATTAATTATATATACATAATTAAATTACAAATTGTTTTACATTTATTCAAAATTTTTTTTGAACGTTAGAAATACACTCAAAAAATATAAAGCACTTGTTACGTTGACAAAATCATACTAATTCAAAATGTAAGAACTCTGCTAATTTATAAATCACCTTAGCTGCACCTTGGAGTAACCAAGTTTATTAATTCCCTACACTTAGGAATAACTTAAAAAACTACACTTAGGAATAACTTAAAAAACTACACTTAGGAATAACTAAAACTGGTGTCAGTCTAAAAATAGTTTTAAAATTATAAAAAAAATAACATGTCTTTAGAAAATTTTCTGTACTTTACTAATACTTTCTGAACTTTAATGTATAATATTAACCTATTGATATATAAAAAAATCTATTATTTGATTTTATTCCATTTTCTAATTTTATCAGGTCTTATCTCTGTCTTCTGCTGGGGGTAAAGATGTTAAAGATGTTGTCAAGACCATTATGGAAAGATTTGTATTGTCTTACAACTTTTGAATTTCTCGTGTTGTTTTTAGTCCTCAATAGTCTTTATAGTGAAAAGTGTGTAGATAAAAATATTAGATAAAATAGTTTTTAAGCGTTAAGCTTGCTTTTTTTGCTATTCAACATTTAAGTGGAGGTTTCTCACTGCTACTGCCTTTTCTTTATATAAAATATTGATAATAAAAATAACTTTTTTTAGTGTCGCTACGTACGATGAAACACATCGTTCAATTTTCGAGGAACTAATCGCCTCGAAAATAATAAAGAGTCAAGACCTAAGAAAGAAGCTTATAAATATCTTATTATATGCAAAGCTGTGTGCTGTACGTTTTATAAATTTAGTTTTTAAAAGCCTTACTGTCTGGCTAACTTTTTCTAACTGCATTCTAAAATGTTTTTATATAGAAAGTGTTACTTGATCTAAGAATAATAGCTATAAATTTTTTGTTGTTGTTTCATGCAAATAATTATTTGCATGAAACAACAACAAAAAATTTATAAAAAAAATATTGATAATAGTTGGAATAATTATTTGCAAACATTTAATTTTTATATAATTTTTTTTACTTTAGGCGCAGTAATGAAGGATAAAAAATTTAACAAAGAAGACGTATTAAACTGCGTAAAAGATATTTTGCAATACGCTCCAGAAAAGGCCACAGGCGGAAGACGGTCTTCAACATAATATTTTTTTAATTGTTAAAATGTAAAAAGCAAATGAGTGGTTAACTTGTAAATCTTGTTTTATATTTCAATACCATAGTTATATATTTACTTGGAAATCTTTTCATTCTTTTTTTTTTTGCAATATAATTTTACTTCCTTCTAAAGCTTAAAACTTAAAATATAAAATATTTAATTAAACGCTTTTCTGAATTCCCTTGGTTTACGTCAACTTAACATCGGATTATAATGTTAGTCTTACTTTCCATTACTAACATCGATGCGACATCGAATTTTTACATCGCTATTACATCGCAATGCGACGTCAATACTACATCGGCTAGTAACATCGTCTTAAAATCAAAAATTGACATCGCTATTACATCGCATATTAACGTCGATCCAACTTTCCATTTCTAACGTTAATCCGACGTCACGTTTGACGTCGCTTTAACGTTAATCCAACATCGCCGTGCCCAGTGGGTTTTACTATAATATACTTAATTTTAATTATGACTTTTCATTTAGTTTTAAAGCATTAATTATACTATCCCGACTCCCGAGAATAGAAATATTCCTGGGTTTCACAAACCCTACATCTAAGTCAAAGAATTTAATTGCAAAAAAAAAAAAAAAAAAATGCAATAGCAAAACAACTTTAGATTAAAAAGGCAATAGTTTACTAAACTTTCTAAGTAGCTTGACGTCTTATCTATTTACTTATCTATTTTGATGTTTGTACTAAATAGTGATGCCATTACATTTCGTCTTTCAAAGTATACCTAGAATACTAACGCTTTTTCATTATAAATTTCTGCACATTGGATAACCTTGAACTCTTGTAACTTTCTTCTTATAATTTTTGCACAACTAAATTTCATTTTTTCAAGATTCCTTTGCTAAAAACCAATTACTAGTTTTTTCTGATTCTCTGCAACTTATATCAACATATTGTAACTGTTCAATAGATTCAGGTTTTGCAATTATTGTCGTATCATCAGCAAAAAAAACAGTGCTTAATTCTGTTGCACATGGCATGCAACAATTTTATTTTATCTTCTACTAATTGGTTTGACGTAATAATTTTATTATCATTAAGATTTTTCTCAATTTGATATATAACACTTTTTTAAAATATTTTTGATAATGTTGGCCATATACTTATCGGTCTGTAATTCCTTATAACGGTTTTATTTCCTTTTTTATGAACAGATTTTATTGAAGCTAGTTTTAATTCTTGTGGAAAACATCCAGTACTAATATTATCATTGATCAATTTTGTTAAAAAAATAAGTCCAACCTGATAAGTAGTTTTCAATTAACTTATTACTTATAAGATTAAAACCACAAATACTTTTTAGAAAAAGACTATTAACAATTTGTGTAATTAATTCATTAGATACTGAATTTAAATCCCAAGTAACATCATAAAATGGAGGATAATTGGAATAATTTAAAAGAAATTATTTTAAATTTTTATCAAATAATTACTTTTAGTAGATTTATGAATGACATTGTTTAGAACAATCCAAGTTTTCTTACTGTTCCTTTTACAGTGTAGCCGCTGTTTCTTAAAGAAGTTTTTTTGGATCTGAATTATTTTTTTGTATACTTTTTTTTTTTTTTTACTAAAAGATGCTTTAAATCATCTCTTCCTCTACTAACCTTAGAGCCTAAATTCGTTAAATCCTTTTTTTGAATTTAACATTTCTCTGGTCATCCATTGGTTTTTAGGTAAAAATCGCCGGTTACTCAAAAACTATTTTTCTGGTTCTGCTATGTCTAAATCAATCTGAAATTTGTTAACAAACTTTTTGTAACTTAGTTTAAGGCTATCATTTGTGAAGCAATTGTCTTTTTTTGATTGTATTGTGTAAAGATTCTCTGTTTAGTTTCCTAAATTTCCGCTGTATTATTTTCCTATCAAAGTAGTCGTATTTGAGGATCAGTTATACCGTAATAATGAATTTCAGCTGTAACATTAGATTGACTTCTACTAATCAAAACATGATCAAGAAATGTACTAGACACTAATCTAGTTGGACCATTAACTATAGTAATGCGGTTGTGCTCTATCACAGAATTAACATAATCCAGAGAGGTTACTGAATTAACAAAGTTGATGTTAAAATCGCCACAAAATATTGTGTTGGTCCTATTGTTTTGATAAATAATTTTTTTCATTAATTTTAGTTTCTCTTTCTCATTAACACCTGGAGGCTTATAAATGTTTACAATTTTCCATTAATTATTTCCTTATAATTCAATTTCCATCGATTCTTCGATATATTATCGTAAAAACCAGTATTTATTACATTAAAAGTAATTCCATTTCTAATATAAGCACCAGTTTTACCACCTCTTGAAATCCATTGGTATATAAAAGGACTACACCTTTTCAAGATGTAATTGAGAAAACAAAAATTGTAATTAAGAATCATAAGATGTAATTGAGAAAACAAAAGTTGTAATTAAGAAACGCAAGATGTAATTGAGAAAACGTAAGTTGTAATTAAGAAACATAAGATGTAATTTAGAAAACGAAAATTGTAATTAAGAATCGTAACATGTAATTGAGAAAATGTAAGTTGTAATTAAGAAATAGAAAGATGTAATTGAGAACACGAAAATTTTAATTTAGATATCGCTTTAAAGGAGTAAGTGTAAAATGGCGCTTAAAAAAAATGGCGCGTAAAAAAATCGAGCGTATAAAATGACGCCCTTAAAAATGACGCAAGATTTGTAGCGTAAATTTAATTTTTTACGGAAAAATTTAGGGAAAAATTTATAATTTTTGGGCAAATGAATTTAACATAATAAACACTAAAAACATTTTAGGGAAAAATTTATAATTCAATTAAAAATTATAATTAAAAATTATATAATTAAAAATCACTTTATTGATCATTTAAGCACCAACTTGTACGTCTTCCATATTTAAAATAGTTGCATAGTGCGTGGTTGTGTGTTGTACTGCACGTGCACAATCTCCTCCCATTATAGTGTTTTTCGCCTCAATTACAATTCGTTCTAAGTACTGCATGCGCTGTTCCGCAATCCCGTCACCTAATACAGGTGGAATGCGAATTGCATTTTTAACGTTACTTTTAATTTTGGACCAGATCGTTTCCACCGGGTTCAACATTGGACTGTAAGGTCCCAAACGTAACAACTGAGCTGGTGAATTATCAAACACCCTTTGCAAACGAGCGTGACAAGGAGCATTATCTGTTACGACGACCAAATCCTCCAAACGATTACCGGATGTAACCCACTGGTGAAACATAGCCAACATCCACTCGTTACAGGAATCTGCTTTAAATGATCCCCTGCGAGTTTCTATCATGACGACATTTGTAGTTGAAATAGCTGCGATCAAGTGTATGTTTAAACCTTTTGAAGCAGGTACTTTCATAATTGCTCTTTTTCCTTGTCTCGCGCGTCCTTGCGTTTTTCTACAAAAAAGGTTAAAATTTGTTTCACCCAACCAAACTATCTGACGGCCATTTGTGATATGTTCGTTGATGTTTCTAACATATTCAGCTCTTTTTTGTTTGTTTTCATAACTGTTCATTGTAGAAGGCTCCTTGTGCACTTTTTTTAATGAGAACAATCTGCCTTCGAGGTAATTTGCTATTGTTGTTGTGCTAACGTTTATGTTAAATTGTCTTAATATCTTTGTTTTGATGGCCACCAATGTTAATTGACAATCATTTTCAATCCATGTTAATGTTTCTTCGATTTGATCTTCGGTCAACTTTTTCGGTTTAAAACCTCCTTTTCTGATGAAATTTGAATTTCCGCTGCGAACCCAATTGTATGCTGTCTTATATTTGATACCTAGCGTTTGCGCGAGAATCACCCAATCTTCAAATCGCTCCGCACATTCAACAACTCTTCTCCTGTCATTTGGAGAAGATAAAACGTAACGTTTCCTTTCAACTTGTTCAATTGTGTGTATTTCATGCCGACAAATCGGACAACTTGAATCTGGTTGTTCCAGAACTGGACGTAAACAAATTTGGTGACATAAATGTTGACACGGATTTAGCTTAATCACAGACTTTCGGGTCATAGTGTATTGGCATATAACACAACGATCTTTCAATTCCATTATTATTACTTGTGCATACAAAAGCAAAATTTAAGATTATAACTTAAATTCATGCCGAAAAAGACCTTTTGTAACAACCTACAAACTTAGACTGTGAATTTGCTATTTTAATTTATGTGTTCTCAATTACAAGTTACGATTTCTCAATTACATATTATGATTTCTCAATTATATCTTACGTTTTCTCAATTACATGTTGTGTTTCTTAATTACATGTTACGACTTCTTATTTACATGTTGTGTTTCTCAATTACATATAACGTTTTCTCAATTACATGTTGTGTTTCTTATTTACATATTACGACCTCTTAATTACAACTTTCATGTTCTCATTTACATCTTGAAAAGGTGTAGTAAAGTTATTTAGCGTATAGTCCTTTAAATCTTTAATTTTCTTCACTTCTTGCAAAATTATTACGTAAATATCGTTATTTTCACAGACAAATTCATTTAATAATTTAAAAATACTACGAAGACTTTAGTCTTTTTTTTTTACCTACTTTTTATTATATATAACTAAATTTTTATTATATATAAACTAATTTTTACAAAAAATAGTTACAAAATAATCAATAATATCAACAATCACAACGTCCGCAACAAAATCTTAATCATAACGGTAATTGATAAAAACAAACAAAGTCATAAACTTAGTCGTTAAAAATGTTATTTTATAAATATACGTATATGTATATTTATAAAATAACATTTTAAATTTTAGTCATTTTTATTAATTCTTGTTTTGATGATTTTCTCATCTTTGTTGATGGATCGAAAAGAATTTAATTGATTGTTTAATTTATTTCTAAGGTTTCTATAGAGAAAACATTTAGAATACTAGCTTCTTGGTCATTTATCTTAAGTTTATTAGCAGTAAAAACTGCTAAAAAAAAATTTTAGAACTATGGCTACTTATTTTTCTATTTTCTAATTTAGCAACATGCTTTTATAGGAATTCATTTCTCTTTAGTAAATCTAATTTCTTTTCTTGAAGCAC